ACACTAGTATTTTAATCTGACAAATATTATTCTGAGAGAAATGACATCACAAGGAATCATAATTAACTAACATAATTAACATCCACGGTCTTCAGTGACCACACACCCACCATCTTCCACACTACTTTTCTTCTGAATATTTATGTCAGGTTTCTTTTTCATTTACTTGAATGCCCATTCTACTCAGCGTGATGGATGATGTTGCAAATTGTCAACAAGCTGCCTGCCCACAACATTCCATTGGTTTTATACACACATCATATCCTCATATTATGGCTCCCTGCATTCTGCTATATGCCAAGGCCCACAGTGTGGGAACCACTGAACGAGAAGAACGCCCTCCTACCCAGGGATTGGATATTTCGAGGTCCCACATTATCATTGCTTTCCTATTTTTCTTAATCGTATAAGCTGCCATTATCTCCTCCGAAGATATACCAGTGTAATCCCGTTGCACAAGAAAATAGATATTTCAGGTTGAATTAAACTGAATTTCACGTTCGATGATGGTATAAATTGATCATGGATCATAGATATAATCATTTAATCACCTAGCGATAGGATAGATTACCCAACTGGGATATATAACACATTAAATGACTTTTGCAGTACTAGGAATTATTGCTTTTTATTCAAACTGATTAATTTTGTTACCGCACTAATGCCTGTGTCTTCCCTGTGGAGTCGGCGATGGCACTAAAGCAGGTGCAGAAGCCGAAACTGCTGTGTGTGCTGAGACATGTGGAGTAGATGTTGAAAGCGATGTCAGTGTTGAAGCAGGTTCTGAAGTCGATGCCGAAGTAGCAGGAGCTGAAACTGTCACTGAAGGGGCTGAAGCAGACCTTGAAGCTGGCGCTGGCGCTGGAACAGGAGCTGAAGCTGGCGCTGGAGTAGGAGCTGAAGCTGGCACTGAAGGGGCTGAAGCAGACCTTGAGGCTGGCGCTGGAGCAGGAGCTGATGCCGATAGTACGGCTGGAGAGATTTTACTTTCAGCATACCTCGCCACATTTTTCCTCCCAAGCTGGGGGAATTCGGCCTCATCGTTAAGACGAGGAAATGGCTTGGGATTGCGAGAAGGCAGAACAGCCTGTTGTTTCTTTAGCAATTTGTTTTTTCTATCGTTCGGATAGTATGCACATAATGGAGAGTTTGCATTATGTTCAAGTCTGCAATTGGCACATTTCCTTGGGAGTCGATTACCCTGTGCGATTTTTTCGGCGCACTCCCTGCTCCTGTGAGCGGCCGCGCAGTACCGACAGCGCGGCTCCTCGCGGGGACAGGCGCGTGCCCCGTGCCCCCATCTGGAACAGTTGGCGCAAAATGGGGTGAGGGATTTGAAGACAGCGCACCTGAAAGGTGCCATGCCCTCCACAATTTTTATGGATTGGGGGATTTTCTCCCCTTCATAAGTGATAATGAGCCGCTGTGTCATTCTACCGTTAAATTGAATGCGTTTAGCGTGTATAATCTTTTCATTGTATTCGGTGACCTCACTGGTGTCAATTTCCCTCGGGACATCGAACACAACGAGGTTAGTGCAGTGTCCTCTGCCATAAGCTCTGCTCATTTCGAGGATTTCTCCTGCCGCTCCGGTCGTGGTTATACGTTTAAGAATTTCTTCATTCTTACAGCGTACGTAGATATTATTTCGACCTAGTCTTAATTCTAGGGCTCCTTTAGTCTTGTTATAAGGAGCCATCTTCAGCACTTGAGACACCCAACGGTATTTGTCCCCATGTGTCACTAGCTTCGTGTCCCTCCTGAAATAGGCACACATATGGCTGGGGGATACAAGTTCTGCAGACTCATTACTCAATTGTCTTTTTGCTTTTTTCTTTGTTCGTTCGTTCTCAGTATTCGTATCACTTGCTGAGATGTCCATCTCCGTCAACAGAGAAAACCCGGCTTGGGTAGCCATTGTATACACAGGTGTTCTGAGGTCAGATCATTCGCTGAAATGTCGCACACAAACAGACCTCACCTATTTACTTGGGTGCGGTTAGCGTAGAGACCGCACAGATTCCTATCATAACTACACATATATCTGGTTTGAATTCATTAATGTTTTTTTCCACTTTCAAGAAAGAAAGAAGAGACAGACAGACAGGAGACAGACAGCACAGACAGACAGAGAAAGAACAAAAAGAAAATCCACAGTGACCAACCAATGCTGCCCAAATGCATTCAACTCACGAAATCGAGCGATCCGGAAAATGAGCCCGTTCAGAGACAAACGACCAGTCAGGAATTTGTAAAGAACCTCTTTTGTCGATGGAACGGTGCTAGTGGCTTGTAGCCCGGCCGCTCTCTCTGCGTGCGTGTCGAACAGCGCTCCCGCATCACTAATCCACTTCTTGATATTTCCTTAATCCTCGATTTCCGTCATTCCTTATCCTGACAGTCAACCATAGTAAATATAACGTCTACATATATATATATATAATATATATTATATATATATATATAACTATATATATATATAATTATATATATGTGTGTG